ACTATGTAGACCAGCTTGCCTTGAATTTACAGAGATCTGCCTGCCTCTTGTCATCTAAGTGCTGGGATTAATGTTAACTATAGTTTTAAAACAAAGATAGTTTAAAAGTAAAGAGATAGAGGCAAGATGTAACATGCTAATGCAACTTAAAAGAATTCTGCAATAGATACATTAATTTGAGACACACCAAAAGAATTATAATCAGATAAAGATGGACATAATTGTGAAAGAGTCAAATATCCAAGAATGTGTGAGTGAATCTAACAGTGTCAAAGACATCAAGGAGAAGACTTTTATAGCCCTTTAAATAGTAATTTTAAGACTGGGAAGATGGCTCAGTGGATAAGACTACTTATTATGTAAGTGTAAGGACCTGAGTTCAAAACTCTAGCACCCATATAAAACTGGACATGGTAGCACTTGACTATGACCCCAGCATATCACCACATTAATCTCTGGCCTCTTTTAAGTACACATCTGCATGCACACTCCCCCATCTCTTTCTCTCTGTCTTTTTCTCTCTTTTTCTCTCTTTCTCTTTCTCTGTCTCACACACACACTACACACTCAACAAAAGTGCACACTCATCCCTCTCTTTTTCTCTCTTTCTCTCTCTTTTTCTCTCTTTCTCTGTCTCATACACACATTACACACTCAACAAAAGTATACTTAAAATATTGCTTTCATAGTACCCTTTACATACTACACCTAAGTACATTTTATAAACATACTTTAATAGTTGCATTGCTTAATAGTGAATAGATAAAGCTATTAGAAACTAATTGCTAAAACAACAACACTAGCAATGATTTGAATCTAACTGATATCTGTGGGCTACTCCATCTAACACAGCACAGTACACTTTTGTTTTTTAGGTCACTTAGAACTTTTACCAAGAGAGAAAAGACCACACTTCAAGTTATAAAAAATATTTTATAAATTAAAAGGAAACCATATAATATAGTCTCAGCCTATATCAAGAATAGAAAAAAAAAACAAAACAAACATACAAAAAACCAAAAACCTCCAGAGGATACAACACATCAAGTGACATTTTTAAAATATTTTGCACCAAATAAAATAAAACACCTTAAAAAATCTGTGGGATGTAGTAAAAATAATTATACAGAAGGGTGGAGAGATGGCTCAGTTGTTAAGAGCACCCTTGAAAGAGGACCTGGGTTTGTGTTCCAGCATCCATAATTGGGTTGCTTACAGCTATTTGTAATTTCTATTCTAGGGGAGCCTCTGTGGGCATCAGAAAAGCATATGGATACATGAAGGAAACACATATAGAATAGACAAATCTAAAATAAAAATAATTAGAAATTTACAAACTTTGATGCATTCATTAGAAAATGAAGACCTCCCAAATCAACAACTAGGTTCTACCTATGGCCTTACAGACAGGAACTATCTGTAAACCTAAATACACAAGGAGAAAGGAAGCAACAGAAACTACAGCAGAAATCAATGAAGTTTCTGCTTTGTAAATAAAGACAATTTCAAATGACTTAAGTCTGAAAGGGCAATCCTAAAACAGGTTATCATCACAGGGCAATAATAAGGATTAAAGTGACATCTACAAAGAGGTCCACAGCATGTAGCTTTTAAGTGTTGCTCAAAATTATCTGTCATTTGTCAAAGTTAAGTCAGAGCAGGAAGGAACTAACTGCACACTTTGTTTGGTTGTGTCCCAGTGGGACAAGCTGACCTGGAATACCTAGTGGCTGTTCAGCTTGTCCCCTCTCTCTAGATAGACCATGTGATTTTCTCTCCTGCCACCCCCCAATATCTAGGGCTTAGAGGACTCAGCTCAAATATATTTTATTTTTTAATTTGGCTTGATCTGGCTTACTGCAAAGGTGGAGAAACCTACTAGGGAGGTGCAGAATACCTATTAGTGACAAATGAAAGAAAACCTCTCAGGGCAGTGTTATCCTGGGAGATGCTAAGAAATGACACTGTGGCCCACAGGAATTCCACTCTGGAATCCAGCCTGACAAGACCAAGGCGTTTCTGCCCATACCTGTCCCAAGCCCATGTTTGTAAGAAGTGCTCATTATAATCAACTCACTTTCTACATTTCCAAAATATATTTATTTTTTAACCTTGTGCATGATCTGTGGTAGGTTTTTATTTTAGATGCTTTGGATATGCAAGATTGAAGATATGTGGTTTCCATTTAGCTCTAGACAACCTCTGAAGATAAAACTACACAACCTGGTCTCAAATGCTGAGTTACTTGCTAAAGGTGCAATCAACTCTACAGGTTGGAAAACAGAGGTAATCAATCTTGAAACATATAGTTTCAAAATTTCTCAGAAAAACCTCACTCTGCCAGGGGTATCAAGTTTCCTCTTGGCCCTCTCCACTGAGCACAAAGATAACTGAACTAGTAACAATCATTTTATTCAATTGTTGGGAAAATCCCCAAACACCCAAGGGAAGCAAAGTCAGACTGTTGTGCACAGAGAGCCATAGAGTAGTAGAATCTTCTCTGAACTAAATCCCCTTGCATCTTGGTGAGGCTGGGTTTGCCCCCACCAAGGACCCTATGTTCAAGGCAGAAGCCAGTGAGTGGAAAGTCCCTGTCCAGGCTTCAGATTTCTGTGGGCTAAAATGGAAGAAGCATCTAATGGGCAAAGAATGGGAACAAGAGAAGGGAGATAGGAGACCTAAGTGGTGTTGAAAAGGCGGAAGGCAGGTGCTGGTGAGGGTCTCAGGGCCGTGTCTATGAGTACAGAGAAACAATGCCAAGTTCCACAGGTTCTGCCAGGCAAACAGACTGTGCAGAGAATCACAGTTTTATCTCAATAGTTTTCTCTCACCATTTCATTTCAAGCTATCTGCTTGTGACTCCTGGCTCTGGCGGTCCCCAGCTCTGGCAGTTTGCGTGTGACTTATCTAACCTCAATTTGTTTTCAGGGGATTAAAAGAGCCTGTGTATAAAGCACTTTGGGGGAGTTCTTTCCTTGAGTTACTTCCAAGTTCCCCAAGCTGATGGGAAGCTGATAGTCCACTCTAAGAATTCTGAACCGCTCTGAGACTCAAGTTACAAACACTGGCATCAACTGATCAGCTAGGGACTGTGGGGGCACATTCCTGGGCAGTGGTGTGTGAATGAGGATGCCTCTCCTGAGGCTTTCATGGAGCCCCATGTGTTACCAACACTTCTGAGACACTGGGCAGAGAGCCCATTTGCTAAGTGTTACCAAAGACATTCATTAAACAAGCAGGAACTAGGGCGACAGTTTTGCTAAGTTCCTGTATGTGAGTCACTTTAGCAGGGAATCCAGGGTGTGAGGTAGAAAGCAAGAGGTGGGGGGCAAGAGGAGGGTGTAGGGAGACAAAATGTCTGTCCCTCAGAGAGGAAGGCTGGGAAGAGGTCATCCATTTGGAGGTGCCAATTGTTATTATTATTATTTTGTTGTTGTTTTAACACAAGGTTTCTCTGTAGCTTTGGAACCTGTCCTGGAACTCCCTCTGAGACCAGGCTGGCCTTCAACTCACAGGGCTCTGCCTGTTTCTGGTGCCAGTTATTTAATGAATTTATTTACCCTTTCAACAAAATACTGCATGGTAGAGATTTGTGTCCCTGCTTTTCAGAGAGCTTACTTACTCAAGTTCATCCAGGTATCACATGCAAGGTCTGGATTTGAGTCAGGTTCCAGTCTGGTGTGCCCCTTTCTCCTTTATACCACACTGCCATTCCCTAGAAGCCCATCATTCTCAGAGATGGATGGACTTCAGTGATAGCAGATATGTTCCTATGTTCTATGCTCTTGATCCCACCTATACTGCCCCCCCCCCATAGACAAACAGCATCCTCTAGGTAGCTTTAGTTATCCTTGCATCAGTCAGTACAGTAACATCATGGCCAGGTTGTTATCTCAATAAGACTTCAGCAGACAGCCCTGTGTTTGCCAGCCCAGTGCTGCCTACCCCTGGCCCTGTTTCTCTATAACAGGAACCTAAGAGTTTGTGTCATGTGGTGTTACCAGACCGCTGAGCTTTGATGTGAGTGCTACACCCAAGAACCTCAGCACTGCTGCTTGTTCTGTTTAGCTCTACACCTACCATCACTGACTGTCAATATGAATGAAAATGCAACATTCATTCACCTGCATTTGGACAGGGCATCAGAGATGCCAATCAGTCAGTCTGTGGCTCCTATGGAAGTAAAAGGTAGTGAGAGTGAAGTAAGTGCCTGTCACAAACAAGGCTCAATTCAAAGATAACAATTATTATTTGGGCACCTACCTTGGTTTGAAAAGTGTGCTTCTGTTTTTTATGTGAACCCTAAAAGCTGGAGGCAATAGGTACAAGTCTTGTTTGAGGCCATGCAAAACCATGCCTATGCGCCCCTGGGTGATGCTACTGCAGGGTGTTGTGATCCTCTCTGATGATATGACAGGTATCTCTGTGATGAGATCTCTGCCCCTCTCTAGTATAGACATTCTTGTATCTTCATGTTGAGCCATACCTGAAAGGTTCTGTGAGAGTGTCAAACTAGGTTGTTCTTTTCATCCCCACCCCAACATCCTCATTTCTCTTAAGTCTTAGTGTTTCTCAGCTGCCCTGTTTAGAGCTAGTATACACACTCATCACCTCTGTTGATCAGCTACTGTGTCATAAATTCTCTCAACACATCATTGTTGCTGTGTTGTGATACAAATGTTACTGCTTGGGATGTAATGAGTAAGACACAATTACTGATCCCCAGTGGACCTATGAATATCATGGTGGTAATGGAAGTGTGGACTACTACTGATTCTTACTGAAAAAATAAGATCTGAATCAGTTGCTCAAAAATCTTATAGCTTGCCTTAACTCTCTTCTACCACTCCAATCCCCCTAAATCTTATTCTTTGAGCAATTTTTTACATATACCTTTTACCATATGTTAAATTAGTATGTGCATTTGAATATATCCATGCAAACAGAGGCTTTTTTTTTTATCCTATCTCATCAATGTATCTATCTACTCACAGTGTGTCTTTGAGGACTATAGTTTTACATATTTTATTTTCACTATCTAATCTCTGTAGTTCGCCACATTCCTTGACTTGACACTTTCAATGTTTTCACAATTCTTCCTGTGTGTTTTCCACCTGAAACTTAAAACAGAAATAGTCTTAGTTAGCCCTTGTTTTGAAATTTCAGGGCATGAATAATCTATAGAATGCTGTCTTTCTTGCATGTCTGTTTCTTCAAACCTTTGGAGTCCTTCAATTTTTGCTATCCTGTTGTTTATTCTTAGATATTTGATTTTGTTTCGGTTATGCTGAGGCATTATATGCCATCTGTTTGTGATGGTTACTATTTTGTACATTTGTTAATGAACCCTGTTATAGTTGGACATAGTTTTCTAGTTGGCCCCTCAGGTTTTCCACACATATAAGAATCAAAATGGTATTTATTGTACTCTATAGAACATTATCCTCTACTTAATTAGTTGTTTTGCTCATCAGAGCAAATACCTCTAGGACATTATTACATAACAGTGGTGACAGTGTCATAATGTTCTGTACCTGACTTCCATGTAAGTGCTTCTCAAGATTTTGTTCTTAAGCATGGTGAATGATATTAAGAAAATATGTTTATTTTTTCATGAAGAATTTTTAAAATCAAGATCAGGGTATTTTATTGTATAAGTTTTTTTGCTTGTGTGTGCATGCATGTTCATATCTATATATATCTATATTTATATCTATATGCATATGCAGGTCACAGGTTAATGGTGGGGATCTCCCCACATTCTCCACATATTTTTAAGCAAGGTCTCTACTGCACCTGAAGCTTACTGATTTTCTAGTCTAGCTGGGCAGAGAGCTCCTGGGATCCAGTCTTTTCTGTCTCTCCTGTGCAAGGAATATAGGTGTTTACCACCACTCCTGAATTTTAATGTGGGGGTTGGTGATTCCCCCAAACTTGCATAGCAAGCATTAACCAACTGAGCTATCTTCTTACCCCTACTATGTTTTATACTTGTACATATTTTCTCATGAACATTTTAGTATGGTAATTTATAAATAATTATAAATAAACAAATCTAAGGGTATTAGGGAATGTTTATGTTTTAAATTCAACATCAATAAATTTGGAATCTGGAGGTCCAGCAAGGTGACTTAGCCAGTAAGCACTTGTTGTACTGTCACCACTCTAAAGGCAGTGGGACCTGGGAGAAGGGAGGTGATACATAAGGCCCATGATAGCCAACTTAACTCAGAATCTCAGACATTGTATACTCTGAAGGGCTAAGAAAGGTTATATGAGTAAAGTTCTTATGCTTTCAAGCTACATACAATTGAAAAACATCAGCAAGCAATAAAGAGTGATTGAAGTAAACTTGCCGTATCTCCTACATGTGGGGGGAGGGGGGAGAGGGGGTTGGCTTGGAAACACATTCTAAAAACAATTCCATGTTTTTGAAGGAACTGAGGTCACTCTTGTCTTGCTTGCTTGGAGTGTTTTCACACTCATGTCTTACATGACTCCATTCCAGGACACTGTGTAAACCCCAAGACTTAAGTTGAACCCCTGGATGGAATCCGTGTGAAGGTGGAAAGAGAGAACCAACTCCATAAAGTTGCCCTCTGACTTATATACGTGTGTGTGTGTGTGTGCGTGTGTGTGCATGTGCACACACATAGACACACACAGACATACACAGATACACACACACATACACACACTATGGCATACATACATCTGCATTTAAGCATGCATAATAATGATAATAATAAAAGTGCAAATTAAAACTATTTGGAAGCTGAATATAGCAGCAAACATCTATAAAACCAGTACTCAGGTGACCTATACAAGGGAAGTATGAGTTTAAGGCCATCTTGAACTACATTGTGTGACCTTGTCTCAAAAAACGAACAAACAAGACAAATCAAAACAAAACAACAAAAACAAAAACCAACCAACCAAAAACAAAGTTTAGAGAATGTGGGTTTAAAGCATTTTAATAGAATTATTTCATAGTACCATATTAAAATGTTTTAATTACCACCTTCAATTTAATCTTTGCAGATTATCTTTGCAGAATATCTTTGGGGATCGTGACTGCTTCTGGATAACAGAACAGATGGCTGTTGGTTATTTTATTGATCGATATAAGGTCTGTTGGAAAATCAATCACTGCAAGGCCCATATTCTCCTCTGATTTTTATGCCTGTGCTTCCTTCCTGTCTTTCCAACAGTTCCAAGGGAGCAGCTAGAACTGAGTTTCCCAGAATTCACTACACTTGCTATTTAGCAGCAAACTGTGATGCTGCTAGGGGTGTATGGTTGGGCAGTGTAGCTTGGAAGCAGCCTTTGCAAATCATGTCTAGCACAGGTAATATCTTGGCTGAATTTAAATCTTTTTGGCAATGACAGGGTAGGAGCTGACACATCTTCAGGAAGATCAGGCAAAGGATGAACAGCATCCATCTCAGAATGTCCTAGGGATGAAATTTTGGGTTCCCACAAAATAACTGTTTGGAAGTGTGGAGCAAATTTTACTTCAGACTGAATCTCTCAAAAGGAAAAGGGCAAGATCAACTTTAAATGTACTTTTTGGTCAGTATAAGAGCACAGATCAAGGTAAACTGAGTTATTTTTTATTATCTAGGGAATATTAAATATGTTCTTATGGATGAGATTTCCTCACAAACAAGACTTTTTAGAGATCTGGTTTTGTAATCTCAACCTAAGATGGGAGGGAAGGAAGAGTCACTAGTTAATGTATCAACAAGAGTGAAATGTTGAGAAAAACGAACTAGTTTTCTAGTAAGCGACAAGGATGTTCTATGGCTCTACTGGCTGTAGACTTCATTAGAGTTGGTGACAATGAACTAGCTAGCATAACTGGATCCAGGAGGAAGATGCTTAGAGCACAGGGAAAGGTGTTTAACATCAGCAACCAGGAACATGCACAGGAAAGGACATGAAGGCACAGCACAACCACTACAATGTGTAAAGTTAAACCTGAGGGATGATGAACCTGAGGGATGATGAACACATGGCGCAACCAAAGTGCATGCCTTTCTGGTGAGAGTGCAAGACAGTGCAAGGATTTGGAAAGCAGTTTAACAGTTTTTTATGAAGGTATAATGCATACTCATATGAGAAACAGTTGCGCCTCTCCTAGCTTTATGCTGTCTTCTGCTTATTCACTCAACAAAAACATGTCTGCAGAAAAACCCATACCAACCAACCAAACAAAACCCCCCAAATCTGCCAAAAGGTCGGTGCATGAATTCAAGGCAGCTTTTCATAGCTCCAAACCACAACAAAACAAATTTGGTGTTTTCAAGCTAGAAATACCCCCCAAATTGAATGAAGCCTACACATCTCCCAGTCATATATAAATCTCATAAATGTGCTTGGCAAAGAGCCATGCTTCAGAGTATACGCATGATCCCATTCTTATGGAGTTCCAGAAAACAATGAACCCAGAGAGACAGAAGCCCAGTCAGTGGTTATATGGGTCTGGGATGCAGATGGGAATGGGAGAGTATAAGGAGCTTTTGGGGATGATACATTTTACATTTTAATTATGGTAGGGATTACATTGTAGGTGAATTTGTCAGAATTATCAAACAATACAATGAAAACATCAGTGTTTTTCTGTATATAACCTATAACTCAATACATTTAATGTAAAAAGTGAGACAGCTTTTGAATTTTGAGAAAATCGGAGACAGCACTCACTTGAGAGAAGAACCCCTTGAGATACTGGCCTGCAGTTTTACTTGTAAAACATTGAGTCATAGGCAGAGCCATTGAGGTGCGCAAACTACTTTGTAGGATGATTCTTTTAGGAACTAAACTAATTCATCAGCTCTCTCTTGGACAAGACCTTGTATGGAGATCTAGGTATTTGTGGTTACTACATGCCTCATAGGCCCTGTGCATCCTAAAGAATTTTCACTCTGAAAGTATCTCCAGCCAAGTAACCCAGAAGAAGGTCAGGGGATGATGTCTTTCATATCCCAGCTATATAAAGAAATGAGGTGTAACAACCCTTAGCTGAATGGGTTTGGGAGAATCCAGATAAACTTCTCCCTTGACCCTAAGTTTCTCTGGCCAATTCATGGCATATTTGTGTAGGGATCTGCAAATGTTAGACAGAATATAATCTCAAACATGCTGGGAAGTATGAGTTACAGTTCTGTAGCAGTGAAGATTTACATGTTTATGTGAAATGAAAAAAGGACACAAAGTATAGCTGAGAAACATCTCATGGAGAAATTGTCACTGTTGGGGACAAGTGAGTTGTTCCCTAAGAGGCAAGACACCTTCTGGGACATTCCCATCCATGACTTTATCAAAAATGGCTACCAAGTTCTCTTTTCAAACTTCCCCTTAAACTTTTTTCCTTTCCAGTGAACCACCTCTCCATCTCCTCGCACTCCCATGAAAAACACTTGTTATATTCTTGGCTAAATTAACAATGATATAAATTTTGAGATTGTTTGTTCTGCCTATTGTTTTTTGCTGTTTTAATTTTGAGAAAAGTAGAAATAAAGTAAAGGGAGATTTAATTTCCAAGGATATTAATCCTAGGTGGGTTGAAATGGAATATACAGCTCTGATATGATTTATTTCAGTGCTGTCCAAACCAATGTTAGAAATCAGGTCCCTGGTTCTAGTTTCCTACTACATGAACTAGGTATATGGCTTCATCTAAGTGATGTTCCACCCAGTTTCTCTCCCCTATCCCAGGGGCTAGCAGTTTTGTTATATTATTCAATGTGACAGGTTAAAAACTCACCTTTGCAACCTCAGCTTTGCTGTCACTTGTTCAGTCTCTGACTTTCTAGTCCTTATGTTCCTGCCCTGCTCTTTGATTTTCACTCTGTGCCTGTTCTCTGCCCCCTCTCTTGTCACACCACAGCCAAGGAGTGAAGTGGTTCTCTACTTTCCATTTCAACACCCTGGCTTTGTTTTATTTGGTTTTACTAATGTTAAATGAGCACATATTGACGGAGCTATGAAGGTAAATGATAATGACCTTTGTTGTCAGGTTGGGTTTGAAGAAGACACAGAAAAGTGTTCTGGCATTTTGAGGTGGGTGAGATCACAACATGGTCCATAAGGTTTTATGGAGAACCATTCATCACTG